CATCTTAAACTTATTTCGAGAACTACATTATAGGCATATCAAATAAGCCAAACAAATATAGAAAATAGTTAAAAATGCGTTAAACGTGAGTTTTAAAGAAGGTCGTTTAATTAGCATTTTCTTTAAAAAAATTCAATTATTTCATTAACATTTATTATTTTTGCAATACAAATTTCTCAATATAATTTTCATCATTTTATTAGGAAATTTTATATGAAATATGATATAAAAAATTTCGATTTCGAAATTTTACATCTGAAAAAGTCATATCCCATATAAATTTTCAGATACAAAATTACATGGGGTATGATTTTTTTGGATGTAAATTTTCAATTATAAAATTTCTCTCAATTTCTTTGTAAGTTCAATTGTGACCTCCTAATTTTTAACTTCTGCGTCCGCCCCTGCTGGCCATCAAACATCTCGAGCTTTTGGCGCTTGGATTGATATTTAAGAAGTTGCTTCAAATTGGAGGTTGAAGGAGCCATTTGTGGTGATAATCTTCGATCACCAAGGATTCAGGCTCAATATTGTCAAATCAAAGACCACAATTATCAATCCAAACCATAAACCATAACACCCCAACCCGGTTGCTCTCTCGGATTTCCCACAAAGGGATAAGTGTGAAGTTTTTTTATTGTAGCCTCAAGATCAATCACAAATGCTAAGAAAAGAGATGAAACAAGACACTTAACCGAAAGCACGAAGCCAAGAACGGAAGCTACCGTTTTCTCTCAACCAAAGGAAGCTAAAAAAAACCAATTTCACACACACGTGAGCAAGAGTAACGGACAACATATTTTAGGGAAAAGTGAAGGCTTTATGTTAAAAAGGTAATAAGGCCCAATAGGTACTATATTAATGGGCTGTCAATCAAAATGTCATCCAAGAGTTATGGGTCGGACCGTGAATCGCATTAATTAAATTAAGTTACTTCAAATGGTCCAAATTGGTTATAGGATTGGTCTAAACAATTGTGGTGTCGATATACTACTTTAGCTATTTAGTCGNATGAATAGCATTAATTAAATTAAGTTACTTCAAATGGTCCAAATAGGTTATAGGATTGGTTTAAACAATTGTGGTGTTGATATACTACTTTAGTTATTTAGTCGATACTGACTGAATAAACAATGAACTTACATCATCGTTCGGGAAGTCGTTTGACAATAATTTGCCTAACATGATGGATAAACATTAACTCTAATGTGAGATAGGTAGTGTTGGATTGAAGTTATAACTAAATTATTGATGGCTTGTTTGACAACTTTTTTTTTCTAAAATTTATCGACTTTTTCATTAATCAACTTTTAATTTTAACTACATGTTTCATAAAATTCACAAGCGTATTAATTAAGTTTCA